AATCTGTCATCCTAATAATATCCAACCTTACCCATCTCCAAAATTGGACTCAGATCCTTTCTTAGTTTTACAACGACACTATTGTCCTCAATGTATCTTGTTTATTCCCACGAATCCTCTCTTAGGAGATGTTAGGAAAATCCTTAATTAGCACAAGTGTAATTTAATCTTACAGACCATCTTAACCAGATGTGTTGCCTATTTTCAGAAAAAATAATAAGAGAAAGGAAACCTGGAACTAGAATGTCCAATCTCCACGGACCGTGGTAAAAATGGTTAAAGGATGTGTTTGGGATTGTTGTGAAGTATTGTAACTGTGACTGTATTTAGTTGTTATTGTGTTGTAATTTTATTATACTGTAACTATGGTTGAAAGTTATTTTAATGTTTTGTTATTTATTTTTTAAAAGTACTATAGATGAAATATGATATATTTTATTAATTATTAATTAAAATTTAAAATATATTACAAGATATATAATTATTAAAATATATAGTATTTATTATTTTTTAATAATTTAGGTTTTTAAATTTTTTTAATTATTATAGTATTATAAATTATAATGCAATTAAATTATATAAAATTAAGTTTTAATGGATAATTTTATAATTATATTAAATATTATGTGTTTTTTTTAAAAGTTATAATTAAAAAGCTTTGAAATGAGATTTTTTATTGTATACATAAAATTATTGTAAATCTATTATAATTTTTTATTATTTTTTAAAAAAAAATTTAAAAATATCAAATTTACATATATCTAAATGTATCATGCGAGTATAAAAAAAAGGCTTTCAACCACAATTCAATCGGCACCCTACACCATCTCTCCTTCAGAGCACAGACCCATTTCACATGGGCTCGGTGCAGCCTGGCCACCAACTGCTGTTGGTGTCACCGCTTCCCCCATGTAGCGGCTGAGGTCACGGCCACCGGCCTTTTCCTTAATAAGGTTGTCAATTTACTATTAATTTTATCTATAATTTTATTAATTTATAATTCTTAAATAATTATTAATTATTAATTATTTTTAATAATTAAATTAACAAAAAAAAGAAAAAGAAAAATAGTCATATCTATAGAGCCAAAGTAGCTGGCAAACTTTTCCACACGCAAATATCTAATTGCTCCAGTCCAAATCAATGCTGTATCTTTCAGTTTCAGAAAAACATAAAAATTGTTGAAATGAAAACAATGCCCTCACTTAAGTCCATCCCTACTGTTACCATAAACCCCACCATCCATTGTTTTCATCTTCTTCCCATTTTCCTCTTCAGAATAAAGTACTCTGCTTTTCCCCTGTTTATTGTTACAAGTATTACCCCCATCTGTACCATTTCCTTTTTACCCTTGTTTCTCCTTGTTGGTATTACATTGATGCGGTTGTTAGGTCGATAGATGGGTCTAATTTTGTAGCTTTTCTTTCTTTCTCTTTTCTTTTATCCTCTCTTTCTGGCGGATAACTCGTTGGGTTTGGTGCTAAAATCTCAATCTTGGATCAAAAAAGGGAGAAACAGGAGTTGTCACAGAAGTCGGGTAAGGGGTTCATCTATGTTTTCTTTCTTGGATTCGTTTCTGTTGTTTGTTCTCTGAGAAAAAAAAAAAACCCCAAGAACGGAAATTGTAGCTGGGGATCTGGCTTTCCATGTTCTGATGTGTAGCCGAGGTATGAAATTACACCACCATTGAAATTCTTGTGTATTTGCGCCTGTTGAGGAATTCTGCTTTCTGGTTGTACAATCTTGTTTCCTGAAGCTGATTTTCCTTTTATTTTACTGTTATTTCTCCGACACCAAACAAACTTTCACGTCCTCTGGACTGGATTTCTTTTGTACTGTGTACCATTTGATGTGTGCATGCAGTAAAAGAGAGATTCTTTTCATTTTTATTCTTCTATGCTTCATTTCATTACTGTGGTGAGGAACAAATATGTTGGCCAATGATAAGGTTCCTTTATGTTGCTCTTATTATGCTTAAAATCAATACATTCTTTCAATAAACCCTATTTACTTCAGATTCGTTCTGTCTATTTAGGGCTTAATGCAAGCATTAGCCTTGCTTTGACCTTCACGGTCCTGTTTTGGTTATCTTTCACCTGAATGCAGGTGAAATGGAAGAGGGAAGTGATTTTCGGAGTTGGGATGAACTGATTCCTGATGCTTTGGGGTTAATATTCCGCAATCTGTCTCTCAAAGAGGTAGTGACGGTGATCCCTAGGGTCTGCAAGTCCTGGAGCAAGGCAGTCTCAGGTCCCTATTGCTGGCAAGAGATAGACATTGAGGAATGGAGTAGTTGCTGCCGCCAACCAGAGAAGATTGACCGTATGCTTGAGATGCTGATCAGAAGAAGCTCGGGATCCCTCCATAAACTGTGTGTTTCAAGACTTCAGAATGATGCTATTTTCGCATTCATTGCAGAGAAGTAAGCTCAACTATTCATTGTTAAGGCATTCCATTTCAGTTATTCCATTTAATTAGCAATATGTGAGTTGCATCTGTATTTATGCTGTCATTCATTCTCCGATGATTCATGTTATATTTAGTAAGTTTAGTCTTAATTTCTCCTGTGGGATGGTATTCATTATAGAATTTGATTGAAAGAACTACAATCTCTTTGGGATACACTGTTTCACTCTTTGGCCTCAATCGGGGTCTCATAACTCATTGCTAAATTGACACTTCAAAGTGATGATGTGGGTGTTCCTTTATGCTTGTGCCTTTGCAAGTGCTACTTCTCTTCAGGTTTTGCAACTGCCAAGATGTGAAATTAGTGATTCCATAGTCGAACAGACTGCTCAAAAGCTTTCTGCACTTACTTTTTTGGATTTGAGCTACTGCTGTAAAATTGGAGCTCGTGCATTAGAAGCCATTGGAAAGCACTGTAAAGTTCTTGTCACTCTGCGCCGGAACATGCATCCACTGGATAATGCAGGCAAACCCTCAGAGGATTACGAGGCAAATGCCATAGCTGCCACAATGCCTAGGCTCAAGCACCTAGAGATGGCTTACAATCTTATCAGCACAACAGGCGTTTTGAAGATCCTTGCTAGCTGCTCTGAGCTTGAGTATCTGGATTTGAGAGGTTGTTGGGATGCAGATGACAAGTTATTCAAGGAAAAGTTCCCAAAACTGAAGGTGCTGGGGCCAGTTGTCATGGATGTCATGGATTTCGAGATGGATGAATGGGACTATTGCTCTGATTACTCAGATGGTTCCGAATATTTGTCCTGGGGTTATCCAGCTAGTGAACTGGATGAGTATGACATCTACGATGGAACATGGGGGGATGATGATGACTACATGAGTCTGGATGAACTTGTGCTCAGGTTCTATGAAGGAACCGAAGAGGATGCCACAATGTCTGGCTGGCCTACATCCCCTTAATCAGGTTCTGTTTCCTTGCCTTGTATGTTGTCTTTCTTTTGTAGCATATCCCTTTAAATATGAAGAACTTCTTATGATGTATGAAAATATATGCTGTCTACTCTTTAATAGCAAATCTAATCAAATGTGTGATTTTCTTCTTGTACATTTACCTTCTTCTTTTGTCGAAATATATGAATCTCTCTCACATTTCAGTCATTAAAAGAAAAAAAAAAAAAAATTCTCTCACTTTTTTTGGCATGCCTATGAGTTTTTATTAAACTAGCATTGCAACTAAACTTCAAAAAGCCAGGAGGAGACTTCTGCCATATCAAAGAAACATGGACTATTATACCAAAAAAAAAAGAAAAGGAAACATGGACTAGACAGCAGCGGGAGGAAGAGGATGTTTCACAGCAGCATATTCTTGAGCCAAAAGTCCATGCTTTAATTCCTGTCTGATGAGCTGGAGATTCCTAACTTTGCTCAAATGTTGTCTTGTTTCTAGCACGCCAAGTACACCAGAATATTAAATGGGCGAGCAACAGTTTCCAGGATTGAGAGGGAATCATATTCATTCTGGAGTAACCCTATTGCAAAATGAACATGAAACAAAACTACTTTACCATAAGAAAAATTATCACTGACAAACGCACACTAGTGGAGCAAGTGGCCATACCATCATCTGACTGACTCCTCGTGACCGAGATTGGCACTAGATTAGGTGTTTGAACTTTGAACTCAAAAGAGAAAAACAAAAACAAGAAACAAAAAAGTCATGAGTAAAAGTATGCTAATAGCTCTTTATAAAAAAAAAAAAAAAAAAAAAAGTATGCTAATAGCCCACATTTCCACAGATTGCACAAGTGGGGATTTTGTTTTTTTTTTTTAATTTTAGTTGCATGGTAAAAAAATAACTTTTTCACATTCTTTACTTCACTTAACAAGCATGCTGTATAACTTGAATTCAGTGTCTTTGCTTTTAATATAAAAAAATTATTACTTAATTATTTAAATTATTAGTATAAATAGAGATTTTATTGAGATTAAAAGTTTATACATTACAATAGATCTAGTCTTGTATATATTATAGTTTTTTTGATATTTATAATGATTCACGAGTGAAAATGACAAATGTCAAACAGAACTCATCTTAGAGGCTGTTTGGTAGTGATGTAAAACACAATTTTCACTTAAGAAAAAAAAAAAGAAGACAATTTTCGAATTTTTTTCAATAAACTTAAAACATTGTGAGAAAAAAAAAAACTTTCAAGTTAAGTGAATAAAACCCCATAAAGAAAATGTCACAAAAAAAAAATTAGATTTTTTATTAGAAAAAAAAAATATATATGGACTTGTGAGGGTGGATTTGCTCTTTCACAATGTTTTTAATTTTGGGACCAGACCACTAGGATGGGTTATCCATAGAATCATAAAAAC